CTGCTGAAAATACAACTCCAAAGGACCTAATGACCCAGATGCTTTCTGACATCCTTGTAATGCTTGGAGGAACAGTCATGGCCCTGCTTCATATGTTTTTATGTAAAAAAAACTTAATGTGGTGCTTAGCTTTAAAGCTTGACTATGAGAACTGAAGTGCTTTCCCCAAATAACCGTACTGATAGTTTATTGCGGGTTTTATGTTATTATAAAGTGCATAAAAATATGATCACGTTTACTTAGGAACTCATTTGTTTCTGCTGATGATTCTTCATGGAACTTTGACTGTAAGCAAAATTATCTATGAGAGAAGATTATCTTTTAGTGTGATGTACTTTTTAACATCCCTTCTCAAAGCAGGTTTCTCAACATTGTGCCCAGTTGTGTTTTTAATACTTTCAAGGATGGCAACTCCACAGCCTGTCTCAGCAATTTCTTCCAAGGTTCAACTACCCTCACAGTGAAAAAGTGTTCTTATGTTCAGACAGAATTTCTTGCCTTTTAGATTGTGCTCATGACATCCTGTGCTTCCCCTGGATAATGCTAAGTATACGGAATGCTCCATATTCTTTACTGCTTTCTATCAGGGATTGATAAAATGATCTCAGTCAAACCTTTCCTTATCCAGCCTGAGCAACTCCAGCTCTCTCAGCATCTCTAACCTCTTTATCAACTCATATGTCCTTTGTTGGGCTTGTTCTAGTAGGTTCATGCCTCTAGACCTAGTAGGTCCAGCACTGGACACTGTAGTGTCTCGCTAACACAGTTGTGGTCTTACGAGAGCTGATGAGAGGGGAAGGATCACTTCCTGTGACCTGATGCTGATGTTCCTCTTAATGCTGCCCAAGATACCATTGGCCTTCTTTGCCAAAAGGAGACTTAAGACCTACAGAAACAGTTGCAAACACATCAGAGTGGTCAGTCTGTGCCTTCTGCACTTCAACAACCAAGGAATTTCTCAGGTGGCACGAAGAAATTCATTTTCACTTTTATTTCTAAAAAGAACTACATTGCAACTAACTATAGGTATTTTTAAGACATAGCTGCTTATTCAGCAGTGCTGATAAGAAAATCTCCCTTGGAACAGTCTGTTGACGCAATGTTATGTATCCTATAAATTGTCTTTACCTTCCCCCTCCAACATTTCTGACCAGCTGTGCCAGTCGATTCGCAAGGCTCTATGCCACACTACCATCTAGTGGCATGTGTTAATATGACATTACCTACCACAAAATTGCTCTTATGCACTGACATTTCTTAGCAATCTTTGGAAAGAGGAAAGAAGAAATAACTTCTTATGCCTGAAAGTAGTCTTACATGAAAGAACATGAAAGGAATTTACCCTGTCCAGGACTCAGGATGCTGCAGCCCATAGAACAGGTGTTTACTCCCAGAAATTAAGGGACAGTAGCTGAAGTCACCACGTTGTGGGACTGCTGTAGAGCATAAGAGCAGAAAAAACCTAGTCAGCAAAGGAGAATGACACTGCAGACTCACACTGTAAGTATCTAGGTAATGAGAAATTTTGCATTGGGTTACCTGTTGGACATGAGTACTGATATCCCAGTGGTGTATGTATTCTACTGAAGCCATAAGTCACACTGTTGATAATGTAGTATACACACCTATAGCCATGTAATCTACCCATAAGACCTTTTTTTTTTTTCCCCCCCCGAACTTTTTAACTGGTAATTTAGTAGTTAATATTGAGATTTACGGGTTGTGAAAAAAAATGGCAAAGAACAGATATTTGTCTTCTGTTAAAAACAACAGAGCATTTAAGAACAACTAGAATAGGCTTGTTTCAAAAAGCCAACGTATTGCAAATAACAAAAAAGACTGCAGTGGATTTGACTCTTCAACAAAAATATTCTGCCTGGGAACACAGTGACCCCTTTGACAGCAGACTTGCTTCTAACTTGCTAGATTCACCAAAGAGCATATCTTCTGACAGATGACAGCACCAATAAACACTTGGCTGCTATAAAACATATAAGGAAGAAGTTGGTTCTATTAAATATAGGAAAAATGTATTTGTAAAATAAAAATTAATTTTATTTTATTTTACATACACTCAGAAAATACTGTGCAATCTGTTATTTTCAAAGCTTTAATATTTATTCATTTAAGCCTTTTTAAATTTTACATTTTGCAATTTTGACTTCTAATGATAGCAATTTGTGTCTACTCAAGATATTCCTCTTTTTCAAATCTTCATAAACAGTTACTTACATGGCAGCAATTTGTCTTTTCTGAGAAGTCTGTTTCAGCCTTAAAAGTTTTAGTACCCTTGAAAGTGAAGAGCAGAACAGATGAACTGAAACATCGGTCTGAAGATTGAGGAATTTCTGCCATTTTTATTTCTTATGTTTCCTGATATATACTTCTCTCTGCCAAAATAAATCCCTAAGAATAATCTCTCTTCTCTAGGTCAGTGTCTAAAGGTATTCTAGATTTGCAGACTCTCAAAGATCAAGATTACAAGTAAAGAGATTTAAGGAAGGAAAGATTAAGCAAATCACTGCCAAAATACATATCCATCCTATTGGTAATACTCTGTAAATATATGATCTGAATGTCACAGCTCTATACTTTTTGTGACAATAATCATAGAATCACAGAATCACAGAATATTCAAGGTTGGAAGGGACCTCTACAGATCATCTAGTCCAACCTTCTTGCTCAAGCAGGCACACCTACAGCATGTGGCAYAGGGTGGCATCCAGGTGGGTTTCGAAGACCTCCAGAGAAGGAGACTCCACAACCTCCCTGGGCAGCCTGTTCCACTGCTCTGTCACCCTCACAGTAAAAAGTTTCTCCTCACCTGGAGACGGAACTTCCTGTGCTCCAGCTTATGGCYATTACCCCTCGTCCTATCGCTGGCCACCAGTGAGAACAGCCTGTCCCCTTCCTCCCTGCATTCTCCCTTCCTGAACTTATACATATTAATCATATCCCCTGTCAGCCTTCTCTTCTCCAGAGAAAACAGGCCCAGCTCACTCAGCCTCTCTAAATCACAATCTATATCTAAATCACAAACAATTGAAATCTAAATCGAAATCKAAATCAAAATTAAATCTAAATCAATCTAAATCTAAATATAAATCACAATCTAAATCACAAATAATCATTTGTGATGACCATCATTAAAAATGTATTAGATTTCAAGCTGCCAAAATTGCCAGRGATTTACTAAAATTATTTGTTTTGTCCTCTTATATATATACATACATATATATATACATAATTAAAAATATAATGAAACACTAGAGTCATAGAATGGCTGAGATTGCAGGAGATGTCTGGAGATCATCTAGTTCTCCATGAGGTTCAACACCTCATGCGTAAGCCAGGGTCACCTAGAGTCCTATTGCCCAGGACTGCGTCTAGACAGATTTTGAGCATCTGCAAGGATGAAGACTCCATAACCTTTCTGGATATCCTTTTCCAGTGCTCTGTTACCCTCACTATGAAGAAGTTTTTTTTTTTTCTCATATTCAGATGGAGCTTCCTGTGAAGGCCAGAAGCAGCCTTGGCTGCAGCAACCACCAGATGATATTCAGGATCTTGCAAGGCAAAAAGCATGTTCACAACCCTACGCTTCCTGAGAGCAGACTTTGACTTGTTCCAGTATCTGCATGGAACAATCATATGGGATACAGCCTTAGAGAGATGAAGGGTCCAAGACAATTGGTTGATTTTCAAGGATCACCTCCTACAAGTTCAATAATACTCCATCTCAACAAGGAGGAAATCAAGCAAATATAGCAGGATGCCTGCATGTGTGACCAAGGAGTTGCTGATGAAACATGAAAAGGAAGAGGTGGAAGAAGGGAAAGGTGACCTAAGAAGAATATAGGGACATTGACCAAACTTGTGGGGATTGGATTACGAAAGCTAAAGCCCACTTGGAGTTGAATATGGTGAGGGAAATGAGGGAGAAGGGCTTCTAGAAGTACATAAGGAGCAAAAAGGCTATGGAAAATCTGGGTACACTGTTAAATAGGGCATGAGTCTTACTCCCAAAGGTGCTCAATGCCTTCTTTGCCTTGATCTTTACAAAAAGTGGTTCTATTCTTTGATTTTCTAAAGTCATCTTCATGAGGTTTTTCTGTAGTTGTAATTAGACATTTTCAGTTACTGTGTCGAGATTCTGTTATTCTTCAATATTTTTCTGCTTCCTTTGGATCTCCTACTTTCCTTTGGATTTTGTCTAAATGCTCATCAAATATCTGGCAGCATSCCAAAATGATATATCATCAAACAAGGAAATCAAACTGGAGTATGTTGAACTGAGAATCTCATGGATCCCTCAACCGGTATTTCTCTTTGTTACATCACCTATCAACTGGGTAAAAACTTTTTTGTTTCACTAAGGTTCTTTTATAATAATACTGTGTATTTTTTTTTTTTTTTTTTTGCTGGCTATACAAATACTGATAAAGAAAATGCAATTTAAGCCTAGATTGTGGAATGTATTAACATTTGTACTCTCATGTGCATACTCTTATTGAAATTTAGTCCAGTTTTATAAAATGTTGTGTAGTAGACAGTAGCTTTTAGTCAAGAATCTTGGTAAAAGTCTCTTTGAATTATTAACTCATATGAAGTTTATGAACCTCCTATCACTTACTACTAATGCAAAGAAATTTGATTACAGGTAAAAATGTCATTAAAAAAGACACATTTATTCTAATTTTTATATTTACTAAAACATTCCATTTCAATTCCAAAAGGCAAGTTTTATCATGTTCTTTTATTAAACAATTGAGGTGTAAGAATAACAAGTTTCAGAGTTTGCTGAATAGTGGCCTGCTAAGTTTTACAACATCCCACAAAAATGCCATAAGTTTCAACTCGAGTACAATTTGCTTTATACATATTAAAAGATCAAAAAAATAGGAATGTATAAATTACTTCTTTAAAACTGCCTAGTAAGTAGCGAGAGACAAAAGYTGTATAATGAGAAACAACTGACATGTATAAGTAACTCTTAGCTTTAGGAATTAATTTAACACACCTGCAGCTTACTGATTTTTTAAAAACAAAGCAGCTCCACACTGAATCCACTGGTCTTGGTTTCCTCCACAAGGTACATCAATATTTGTCACCACATGATCTCTTTCCACGCTGGTGTAGACTGGTAAAGATATGCATTCCTCTGGAGAATATGGACCATATGCATCCTGTCAACAAATCATTACTTAGTTATCATTTAAAATGGAAACAAAGTAGGAGAAAAGAATGATCTCCAATGATATGGTATTCAATGGATCATTAATTTATAATTTAGACACTTGATAGACASCAGAAAAATAGTCTCTGTTGGTCTGGTCTAGAAATAAGGACTACCAACAAGGCAGAGTCTTTAGAGAGGTCTTCAGAATGTTATATTACTCTGCTTCTACATTTTCTATCCAGTTGGTTAAACTGAAATCAGAGGGCATGATGTAGTAGAGCAGGTTTCCTGATCCTATCAACTGTGTATCAAAATCTTCACACAGCTGAAAAATAAAGTCTGTAAGTTCTATAAGGTTCAGAGAAGCAAGGACAGGGAGGCAGTTCCCAGCCAGAGAGAGCTCCAGGGAGCAGCAGTGCTGGCCTGCAGGGCATGCTCCAGTCCCTGGCAATCTGCTTCTCCTTAGCCCCAGCCAACTTGTCTCCTCGGTCCCTGCAGGCCAACCTTGCTGCTCCTCAGGTAACACTGCCCCATTTGTGATCTGCGTCTGAACTATCTGCAAGTTGGATATTTTGTGAACTGTGCTTTGGCTGACTGGCATAGCGTGCTATCATCACAAGTCTAAAGTAAATAGAATAACAGTCCCTGCCACACCTATCTCTAATGTTTTGAACTTCTGTTTAATGTGATTTAAATCCCATTAATCCAAAGAATCATTCATACACATTAACTGGTCTTATTTAGAAACTTATTTTCCTGCCATGTATGTYGCTAGAAACTGAAAGAAAATTAAACTTACTTTAAAATGCATGATKAGTGATTTCTATATTGTGACATATGAGTGAAAAGCACTATACTGTGTAAAAGCTCAGTCTTCAGCTGCATTAACTCTCAGAAAATAATAGTTCCAACTTGCTTTCCCTGTGTGATCCACTTCTATAGTAAAGCCCATATCAAAAAACTTCAGAACACAGAAAATCAGAAATGCTTCTGAAGAGACTTTAGATTTAAAATATAGCAACTAAGAATAAAATCCTGATAGACTGACAAATTGGTTGACAAAAAGAGGTTTCTGTTTTAAAATAATTATATTTTCTCCCACACAATGAAGAAATCAGCTACTATCCATTTCAGATGCAAAGTATATTGAAGGCAGTTTAATTTAACTCTCACTTGCATGTGTTTTCCAATAAATCTCTTTACTGATGTAACATATAACATCTSGATCTTATCTCTGAAATTTAAAGGAATATAGACGTCTACTCAGAAAAACCTTAAGAATCTGCTTGATTTTTAACATAAGATGATTGCTTTTCAAGATAAAGAAATAGTTACTAATAATTCTAGCCTTGAATGTACATGAGATAAATATTTAGTGTTACTATGTAAAAAAGTGTATATTGCCATTCTCCTCCTTCCACCACGATTCCAGACATAAAGATGTCTGGATACTATTTATTTCAAGCATCTTTTGGGTAAATTACGAAACTTTTTATTTCTCTGAACAAAACAACTTTCTAAGTTATTAAAGAACTGAAAACTCTTTCATTGATCTGCTTCATAAACAGTTTTTTTTTTTTTTTAATTTCTAATCTATTCAGTTTCATCAAAGTTGGGAACAGTTCTGCAGACATTTGTACTGTTTAGCTGCAGTGCTCTCAGTCTCAGTTTGACTATTATACTTCTAATAATGGTGGAAATAATATAACGGAAATAACAATGAGAATTTTTAAAAAAAGTTACTGGAATACAACAGTTTGGTAGTAACAGAGTGTCTTGTATAATATTTATCACAATGCACCAAAAATCTCATCATTACGGTATGTTTGAAAAAGAATAAATTATTATAATTGCAATGTCAGCTACTTTGTCTAGTGTATTTTTTTGTTTAACATTTTTCTAACCAAACCTAATATTCTCAAAAGCAAACTCCACCGAGTTCTTTAGGCTGCAGATCAACAACATTCTCCAACGAATAACTTCATTTTTGAATGAGAAAATATATACAGGACATGATAAAAAGTGACACTTTTTTCCATTTTTACATATTGCTAATTCTACTTATTTTGATAGAAAAGTGGAAAAAAAACCCCACATTCATCCCTATTTCTCATTTTTATATACATACATATATACATTTTATGTGTGGATCTATGGAACCCCCTTAATTATCTTCCTGTGTCTCAGTTAGTRGTCGAGGCTGTTTATCTAGAGTTGCTTCCAGTCAGAGATTGATCCTAGATACCTTATGATGGAATTAACTTTTTGAGATGCCTACCTTTTACTAAGACTAAGCAAGGAGCTAAGAAAAATAATTCAAAGTGGGCACACAATTACTTTTAGACAGCTAAATTTAATGAGATGGATACTACAGGATGTGCTTGTTTTAGTTATAAGACTATATGAATTGGTAATGCTACATATACTCAAAGAGGTTGCTATGCAACTTATTCCTTTGTTAACTTATTCCTTTGTTAAAGGTTGCTCTTGCAATTGGAAAGCAGTACCAATAACAAGTCTTACTGTTTGGATTGCTGCTGCCATTTTCTCTAACACAGTTTAGCAGACAGCGGYGCTTTTTTTTTTAAGTTTGTGCAAGTAGAGGTGAAGAGGTGAAGCTTTTTTTGCTTACAGATCATATGGTGTTCTCTGTAACTTTTATTTCTGTAGCATTTTAATATATTTCAATTTAAAACCTGAAGAAAATATATCTATGAATGAGATTCCAAAGTCATATATACATTTACTAAATGTATTTTTTGAGACAGTTATGTTCTTATTTTGAAAACAACAAAATAAAGAAGTATGACTGAATTGAAGCCCTGACTTAACCTGCACAATGATATGTAAAAACACACTGACAAGTACTAAAATGTTCTTTGGGTTATGTAACAGATATAAGYGCTTCTCCTATTTTTTCCTAGGTTACTAAGATTGCAATTTTTATTTTAAAATGAGAGAAAAAACAGTTCAGCAACATCATGCTGAAAAGCTATTGCAAAGAAAAAAAGCAAGTTATGGGTCTTGAAARTTTAGGGCTCTTTAATAATTTAGTACCTGTGGAATCCAGGCTATGTAACAAGGGAGTATAGATGACACACTGGGAGAATCATGCAGATTTTCTGAAAGTTGGTTTCCATCAAAACTGCAGCCTTCCAGTTGCAAACCACTGATCTGCCATGGAAATATAAAAAAAATCAAATATGCTGTAGAGTCTGAAGTATCAGTACAGATTACACTGTGATTTAACTAATGATGATCCTTTTTACTGAATGGAATGGAATGAGGAATTAAAGAATGACATTTTTTGCAGAGACAAATAAAATATATCCAAATAATGTTAAGGAAAAATATTATTTAACACAGCGTAAGATTTCTTAGCTAAAGCATTASTTGGAAAAAATAATTTAACAGAAATCACAAATATTTATATAGGTAACTATGCTTTATGTATAAAATGTTTGAAATGCTTGCTTTTAACATGGCAAATGAGTACTTTCAGATTTTGAATTAAAAAGCATTCTCCCATCTTTATAATGAACGTGAGTCCTGAATAAATTAATGATAAAGATACACACTATGTATTTATTCCACATGAAATCCTCAACATTTGTTCTTCATTTTATTTTATCACAATAAGGCATTCATTAATATGAGAAGAATAGCATTCTAATAGCCAGTTTGGCCTGAAAACTTGCAGTTAAAAAGTTGCAGTTAAAAAGTGATGCATTGGAGGTTGACTTTCACTTTTCAAAGCAATGTCTTCCCTCTCAAGCTTTCTTTTTGGGTTTATATTCTACCAATAACACTCTATTTTGTATTCAGCATTTTTACATTTTTAAAAAGTAATTACTCTCTTCTTTGTGTCTAGACACAGTGTAGTCCTTATTGGAGTCYGAAGTCCATTCTGCAGTCAAAACCTGCACCTTTAAACTCATATATCTGTTTTAAATCTGTGCTAAGGCCCCGTCCTTACAATACATAAGATACATATGAATACAATATATGTATATTTTATATATATATATATATAATTAAAAAAAAGATTATAAAATATTTCATAATACAGAAAATTGTGTTTCATTTTGGATAAAATACCAATAGAAAAGATGACAATATTCTTTAACAAAATCTACACATAAGGGACAGAACTCACATATGAAACCTCCACAGATGYAGATAATCTGGATAGAACATCCTTAACCAATGAACAATATAAACAGAAATYCTAGAATATGACTTTTTCTAACTTTGATAACATCCACAAATTATCATAACAAGGACTCTCTTAAATAAGTTAAAATTTTCAGACTTCCTATTTTGAAACTGCAAAAACTTTTGCAAAAACCTGCAATCGTCTGTCAGAAGCTTGAGGTCTTTACTATAAAAGTGTGATTCTCTTCTTTCTCCTGCCAGCTTTTTCTGATCTTTCCCCTGAATCTCCTCATTCAGGTCTGTTGCTTTTAAAGCACAGCACTAACAGTTAATATTTTGTTCTGTTTCTGTCCTTTCAAACTCTCAAACCTCTTCAAACAAAAAAGTCAGAGGATGGTGGCTTTTATCTAGGAAAAGATACATCTAGCTGACAAAATCTCATGATAGAAAATAAACTTTCCAGCACCACTTCTTCTGTCTTGCAAGGACAAAGAATACAAAGAAAAATATCATAAAAGGAACAAAAGTAACAAAGTCTAACTAACGATTATATTAACGTTTTTCTATGGACTCCTTCCAGACACCTATTGTACATATCACCACTTAAGGTTTCACTTTAAAAGACACAYGGACTATACTTCATTCTACTAAATTTCTGACTGTTTCCAAAGCTCTTATTTATCTCTATAGCGAAATTACTAGAGAGCCTCCTGTATGTATGCATCCTGTATGTTTTTCTTGCTGCTCATGGTCTTCAGGGAGCTTTGTTTTGGAGTTTACTTTGTTAAATACATGAGCGTGGCAAAATGACTGAGGGAGGGTAAATTTGATGAACTGGCTTTAGAATTTATTGTCAGGGTGTACAAATGTTCGGCAATGCTGCAAGCCTCTAAAAACACTTCCTGTAGAAGTGGGTCAGCTATTAAGAAATCTCTGCTGCACACATATTTCTACTTCTGATATCGGCAGTTTCTTTGACATTGTAGTTATGTAAAATAACATCATTTGATCTCCTGGAAAACTTCAACCAATCACAGGGATTCCTTTGAAGATGAAGACCAAAACTCTGACTTTGATTCAATATTAAAAGCCAATGGGGAAAAAAAAAAAAAAAAACACTGGCACAATCTACTTTAAGACACCAGTTAGCTGAATACACTCATAGGTATTTATCCCTTGAAAATTCTATTCTCTGATAAACAATATTGAGAAATTACAACTGCTGCAAAGGACAATCTTCACAGTAACTATCATTAAGGTGCATAGCACTTTTGTAGCACAGTCTTGGTAATGACTGGAGTAGACCAGGATTTTTTGAAGTCTTAATCCTTATAAAGTAAAAACACTTAACTTTTTATAACTATAGGTACTGGTATTAGATTCAAACAAAGCTATTCTTACAAATTACAGCTCATGTTTCATGTAGAAAGTATGCTAATGCTATGGAGACAAAGCATCTCTGCTTCCAAAACTTCAAAAACCTCCAACTTTTCACAATTTTTTTTTTCTTATTGTTTCATATTATAGTTTCCTATTATATGATGCAAGCTTTGGTGGATTTCAGGAAGTCAAATTTTTACTTACTTTATTACTTTCACAGGTCTCCATCAATATTTTATGTTTAAAGATGGAATCATACTGTACAAAAAGGCCATTCTGGATGCCTTACAGTAGTATTTCTGTCAATTGATAAGAGTTTATCTTCAAAATTAATGTTGCTATTATATATCTGAATATGGCATACCTGCAAATATTTTGTTTTTCACATTTCTGTTAAGTTCCATACAAGTTCATAGCATTTACTACCCAAAGAGTCACTTACAATGTTTCTTTTTTCTTTCATTGTATTCTACAACAACTGAAAATGGGATTCAAAAGGAGTAAGACTACCTCTTACCGTATGACAGAGCAATCAGTGCAAACAGCAAACAGGAGATATTTGCATTTGAATATGTAGTTATACTGTAATAGCTATACATTTTCAGTACCTTTTGTTAAACAATCCTAAGAATTGTTACAGACATTTTAATTGTATATGAATTGATCTGCAATCATTCATCATATCTTATTAGAAAGGATCTACTAATCATAATGTTTTTAACTACTTGCTGAATTAACACTGCTAATTTAATATTGGGTTTCATAATCCAACTAGATCAGCATGTATTCTTGGCCTGACTAGGAGTTCTTCTGCCTACTTTGTAGTTAAACAAACAGCTTTAGCACTTCATATCGTATTGCAGAGGACCACAGGTATATTATTTGAAATGCTGGCACACAAAGATCATTTCAAATGGCTACAATTGCTGAAGCACGATGCCATTTTTAGTAACTACAAAAAAAAATTGAAAAAGTTTTCTTATATAGAACATAATGAGAATTCAAACATTCCTTTTTTTTTTTTTTTTTCCTTAGCAGGACAAATTTCAGGTCTTCCAAAACTTTAAAAACTGGAAAAAAATCTCAAAGAACCTCTCCAAAACAGTCACCAATTGTATGACTACAACGTTATACAAAGTATGTGTGAATCGAAGATTTAAAAGCTATGTTCATCCACGCTCCTAACTGATCCAATCTTTCAACAAGGATATTCTATTACAATAATTAAAAAATTGTAGATTTAACATGATTCTCCACACTCCAAAACAAGTCTCCTAACCATCAGAGTATAGAATTGTCTTCTGTCAGAAATATTCATGTAAAGTGAACACCAGTTCTATTAGTACATTTTCAGACATATAAGTCTTAAAACACCCTATACCATGATTTGGCTCTTGTTGGACATATAGGAGACACAGTAAGCCATAACAAGAAAACAATTTCCAGGGAATAAGAAAGGTGTTTTTGCATACACAAGGTACATCTAAGTATGTGTACTTTTAACTACATTCTACTATTTGTAGAAGCATACACTATAAAATGCCAAGAAACACTTAGTTCAGAGTTCAGCTATCATATTCCATGTACAGCTGAAATTGAAACAGATCTCCTTTTGCTTATGAATTGATTTTAAATGGGAAAATTCACTTAGAAGTCCTAGCTGTTGTAAGGAGGCTATCAAACGAGGAAGCAACAKTTGAGTATCAGACTGAAGCACACAAAATCAAACTTCTAGAGGTCCAGTCCACTGCAGATTTATATAATTTCCTTAACTAAAAAGGAAAGATTTTTTTTTTTGCTACTACTTTCCATCTTGCTTCCATTGGGCACCAATATCTTGTTCTGAATACAAAATATCTTACTCTACTGGACTCCTATGTAAGGTTTTCCATTGCTGAATTATGCTCTCTGTAAAAAGCTACACATTGATCTTAGTTGGAATTTCCCACAGAAGCATTGCTGTTATTTGGTTTTGTGACAACTTTTTCTAGAGAAAAGATTTGCATATTAGGGGAGATTTTTTCACAAGCACTGATACTTTTATACTTTATCTTTAATATTATCTTTAATTAGTATTATCTTTAGCAAAGTGGATAAATCATAGTCTTAATATACAGCAGTGCATACACTTACAAAAAAAAAGTACAAAATCTAGAAAACCTTTAACTTGTTTGTGAACTCCAGGAAAACTCTGCCTCTCTATTTCCAAAATGTGACAAAGTTTAAAAATCTCCTTTTAACTTGAAGTAATTGACCAAAATTACTATGTTAGAAGCATGGTATCTGTAAGTTGTCTCCTGTCAGTGGAAAAAGGCAGGTATCTCCTGAAAGCAGTTCAGCTCATTTGAGAACCTAATTGTCTTGAAAGGGAAGGTGCCTGTCTATATTGACAAAATGAAGCTGGTAAATCCAGAATTCTGATTTAGGTATCAAAAGTTAGACGGAATACAACAGGGCCCCAGCTACCTCACCACAGCATGTTTTCAACAAGTTATCCATTGTAGGTATCTTTTTCTTACCTGATCTTTTTCTTGATCCCTGCTTTCTATATTACAGCTCCTCATTCTGTAAGTCTAGTCTGMATTCTTGACTACTATAGATACAAAATAAACTCTTCCTGCATTAAGATTCATATTGTTTATATGAATGTAATCTAGAGAATCCTTATCCAATGAAACATTTTAGTGGATATTTTCTTTTTCTGTAATAGCAATATTTTTTTATTCCTTAGTTATAGGACATGTTATATGGACAAGAAGCCTTGGATTCAGCTTTAGCAATGTACAAGTTTCTCCCAGTCTACCACGGCCACATTGGCAAGGAATCATGGAAAAGAATCTAAACACTCAGCACAGCAAGAAGTTGCAAAGCCTTTCTGTACATCTGGTGAATATGTACTAAAGTAAATTCACTGAATTTTGCTGCTTACTAAGAAAAGGAGAAGAGGTAGATGKAGGTGACCAACCTCAAGTGGATTTTTACCTTTTGCTTTAAGCAATTACTCTCCTAACTACTTCAGTTAAAATTCTCCTTTTAATTTTGATTTTTCTTGAAATATGACATTCACTCTTGTAAAGCAATAGTGAATATATGTAAAYCTTTTCCTAACAAATGAAATTGACTGCTAACAATGTAATCTAACTAATATTTACAAAAAAACCCACCACATACGTAACAAAGACAAACTGGCTCCAAAACATCTAAACAGGAGCRTTGCTATAGAATTCTTTCTGCTAATTACTCTTTAATTCTATAGTTTCTAAGTGGCTAATTCAACCTAGCAATATTAAAATACTGTAACAGTATTTAGCATATGTAAAATACTTAGACATTATAATTCATATGCAGAGTTCAKGTCAAAATCAACCAAATTTTTGCATTACTTACTATAAACTAGAGTTTAAAGCAGTGGCTGTTACTCTTCTGAGGAAAACAAAGCTAGAAAAATCACATCTGCTCTTAACAGCTTTGAGATTAGTTTCTGTAGAGGTGGATGACTGCATTTTATTTTTGCTGTTTATTTAGTTCCTATGAAAGGAACCAGATTGACAGTATTGGAGCCTTCTATTTATCCACGGAACAGATGGACTGCAGGCAGCACTTAGCTGTAAAACACGTTTATTTAAAAATCCACTTTCTGAGAAATTATCGCTTTCCCTGGGTCTGCTTTACAGAAGCAGTTAAGAATTTTTTCCTGAAAAAAGTCAAAAAAATCCTTTTTGTCAAAATCTGAGAATACATAAAAACTTACTAGTTTTTGATAAATTTCTGATATTTTGCCAGAGTGACATTACATTACAATTAGAGGCTGGAGATACGAACTTTGATTTTAGCTCACTGTTGTAGACTTAGAAAACCTGGCTGAATCTGCAGCCTTGCAGAATCATGGAATTAGGATTTGCAGGTTCCCGTATTTCTCAGCGGAAGCCTAAAAGCTCTAAAATTGCTCTGGTTTATTTATCTTCAGGTTCTAGACTCTCAATGCTTCTTAATAATTGAGGCAGGCAACCTTCACTCTTATGTAAATACTAAGATTAAATAATTTTCTAAATGAAAATTACTCTCCAGTTCCAATAAGAATTAATTCAACAAAGTTCAGACTGTATTCTATAAAGGTTGGATGTAATCTATAAAGACTGGATAATCACAGTTACTTTTTCTGGCCTTACAATCTATTAACATTTTATAAATATGAAACTTTCATATATTCTACATTAAAATTTTAAGTAGTGTCAGAAGCTGGTCCAGAACCCTATTATCTGYCACAACCTTGTATCTACTTGAATTATCAGATTGGAGCAGGTGTTCCCTGTTTGCTTTCTCTCTGGTAATCCTTGCAATCTAACAGTTTTARTGACACATCAACACACACCTGGATGTGCCCTGCATAATTCATTTGTGTTTCTGAATTAATCTCTAAGTGCCGTACTCCGTATTGAACAAAGTATTTTCAGCTGTGTAATATTATCATGGGATCAACAAACTCATTGGAAGACGTCACAGAAAACTTATTTTGTCAATTTCCTACAAATCTAGGCATAAAATAAGTGGAAAAAGGTTCAGTTAAGTCAAATTGTCAGTGCCATCTGAAATGTTAAGAAGCAAAATTRAATCACTTTTGGATTCATCTCTACTTTGCAGTCTATAGAGAATCAGTAGGGACTGTTGGCAGTGGTCCTAAGTGTTCATTAACCAGTTGTTGGGTCTTAGTTATAACAAAAGTTATAACRAACAAGTCAGTTATAGTTTAGTTCAGTTTATTTACTTCCTTAAAAGTCTCATACCTGCAACATTGCAATTGCTAGCATATGGCCTTGACTTACAGTTTTATATATTTATTTCCTCATATTAGGTATCACAAGTCTTTTTCTAGACAACAGTTAGATATTAGCTAATGAAATAGCACATTTCAGTTTTACCTGAAAGGCAGTCAATGAAAATTGGACAAAAATAATTTTATTTATGTATTGTAACCAGAGAAAAGTAAAAGAATCTCTTCCTTTCTTTCTCCAAGTACTGTAGAATTTTTGCACTAAATATTCTTACAGGTGTAATCTGTTAATAAAGCTTTATATCACAGCTACATGAACATATATAGAGCTATTTTTTCTGGAAAATTTATGGACAGATGGCTTGGACTATGCTAATAAAACATACTAGTGAAACTCTATGATATCAGTATCAGTCTTTCTTTTTCCTTTTTTAAACATGCAACATATGGGAACTCAAGAAATGCAGTGAGAAATAGTGCCATGCATAATACCTTAACTTGAAGTTTGCCTTCCTGTATGCGCCCTTTCCAAGAGGCTGTAAATTTAAGGCTGTCCACAGAACAACTCATTACTCTGTAGGGGAAACATATATATTTAAAGTTATGGACATATTAAAATGGGAAACTTAAAAACAAACCTGAAAATAATGCATTTACAAAACAAACAAAATCATACCGAGTCTTATTTATAGCAAAATATAACATTCTGAATTTCATCTGAATTTTTATAAAATGTCAGGATTTAAACAAGTAATTCATAAATATTCTACTCTAGCTCAAATAAAAAARAGATGGCTAATGACAGAAATTGACATAATTGACATAAAATAGGTATATGTCCTGAAAATTAAGTAAAKGTATTCACAAATAGGCAATAAAGGCACATCAACCAGCCTAAACTGGTAGAATAACTTTTCCTCACCTTGCAGTCTCCTGGCGTAGCGCATTGAGAAAGGTTTCTGGATGAAACAGGTCTGAGAGATCTAGAGTTTCTGACAGCAATTTCTGGTTTTCTGCTTTTTCTACCCAGTTCTAAAACAGAATAATGAGAGAATAATGAATCCTGCAGTTATTGACTGATTTTTTTAACATTTTCAGTTGATGTGGATTTGTCAACTGTTGAGATTAATGACAAATGTTTGTTTAAACATACTGTAAACACCAAGCCAACATTAATTTTGAATATTTCAAATCGACAAACAGAAAATTAACCACATTTAAAAACATGAGGAGACTTAAATGACTGATATTCTAATGTTCTGTTGTATCTTTATTTCACCTTAACTGAGAGTTCACATTTTCCATCAAAATGATTGTCTTTACTCTCTTTGCTTTACTGAATTCAGACAAATAACAGGATTCCTTTCAAGTAAAGTTTAAAATGATTTTTTTCTTTTATATAAACTGCATATTAAAGAACTACTTGATTTTCAATCTGCAGCAGGATTTTTTATACAGGTATAGCCAAAGTTTTTTGAAAATATCTGTTAGTCTTAGGTTGTAAAAAAAATCAAACATTATAATTTTTCRTATGTGAGGTTTCAAAAGGTGTTTCACTCATTTCTGGTTTATTAGCCCAAGACATAAATTCACAGAATTTCTGCTAACARAACTGACCTCCTTTATTTTTGGTAGTAAATGAAACTAAGAGTATGTGTGTGGGGGTGAATTAGCCTCAAGTATCCTTACTGAACATACTATCTAATGTAGGGCTTCAACTTTCTTTTACATGYAGACATGAAGTCTTTTACCATGAGAGGCAAGCTCTAAACTGTCTACCAATATATTGTATTTTGTGGCATAAAGAGAAAATATACAAGTTTTGCACCTTGCTTTGCTATCTTGATAAGCCATCTGCATTATTAAGTAACAAAACCTACAAAACTGGAACTCATATTTAATTGCTTTATCAAAGAAGCACTCTGTGGTCCCACAGTCCTGTGACAAACCATTGTCATCAACAGATATGAAGCACAGGTCACTAAATTTTCTTTTGAAGTCTTCTCATAGATCAGCTAGGACTTGGAATCTCCATTCTCAAATTAAACAGACTATGACAGATTCTTTCCCAAACCTAGAAAACTTGGAGAAGGGGATAGAACCCCAACAAAACCAGCCCACTATATATAAATCAGTATCCCAGATATCTATCAGGAATATTGTTGGAATAGTATTTTATTGTATTCTCTGAATCACTACCAGATTCTATAAAACTGTYTAAGCAGCGAGATCAAACATCACTGAATGAATTTGGGTTTTTTTTCTTTGTAAAACGTAACTCCACCACAGTCAAACATTTAATAGGTGACCTTTAAATCTGTCACATCACAAATTACGAGCCTTCAACCCAAATGATTATGATTCAGTTAGAGTTTTGCTTTCCATTTTCATTAGCTAAATATAAACAGTAATTGCTCCTGTCTGCATGATTCTTTTAATGACTTTAACAACAATCTGTTTTATTGTACAGCAGTAACTACGCAWTCAGGTTAGGACAGATTTTGTAAAATTATTTAGTATAATGCAAGTAATCACAATCATTTCAATTTGCATTTTATATAATCATYTTATTTTTGTCATCCAATAAACTTTTAATTTAACTGGTAAAGAGTAACACTCTCAGGAACATAAGATACTTATGTTCCACCCAATTAAAAAAATATATTGATTTCTGAACACATACAATTAAGTACAAAACTCGCAGTAATAAAACTTTCATCAGACCACAAAAGACTGTTTGCAGTTGCTATCTATACTGGTCTGCAAAAAGCTGAAGACATAACAACTCTGTCACATCTGTTTAATAAATAATTTAGATTAAAATGCAATAAAAATGCTAATAAAATGTATTTTACCACAGGCACATGAAAAATTTATTACCTTCTTCCTCTCATACRACCACAGGGCAGAAAGTTGGTGAATTTGTATGGTCTCAGCTGACAATTAAATGTACTGCCACTGCAATAACGCTTAGAATATATCAGTGCAGGGCAAGAGACTTAAGCTGAGCTGTGGAAAGACTGAAGAGATGTTTCTTGAAAAGAACAAATGCTTTACCATATTAGCTACAATATTTTCATTTCTCTCTCACTATACTCTCCTTTATAGCATTTCCCATGGCTATAAAGATATACATTGACTTCACTTGTCAAATTGATGCAAAGTTGTTTTATTTCTTATTGATCTTGGATGACCAAGTAGCTTTCGAGTCTGAAATAGCTTCTTCCATCATCAGCTCAGTAAAAAATGTTGTCTTTCTTGACACATTAGCCAAGATAATCCACTTGTCACTTGACATCTAGATCAGTAATTCAATGAATTTAAGGTTGAATGAAAAGAGTACAGCTAAGACTGTGTAAAATGTAGCTGCTGCTTTCTTTGTGATTTTGAATAACACCTATTCTCTCCCTACTGCCCCTAAGTTCCCTGTTCTAAATCTAAATGATCATAGCTAGGTTTCAGCTTATGTTATAGTTRTGATTCACTCTGTTAGATACAGTAGTTTATAATCTCTATGAAAATAAGTTTGAAAGTTGAAATCAAAGTGTTACTGATTAATAGTGTGTAGCTTAGAAACAAAATTACATGAATCCTGAGTCTAACYATCTTGGAAATTATGTGCAACTTATTTTTAAAAATGCCTTTCCATTATTCCAACACTGTGGTCTCCAAAATAAGAAAGCAATAACCTACATTGCATCCTTCTTTTTAAAAGTTACCACTACCACAATTTTAGTAAATCCTTCTTAGAATGTTTAGTTACAAGCTAAGTTTAAACAGTTATCAGAGATTAATTTAGCATATGAGGATTGTAAATATAATATCAAAACTTATCAAAAATGCCAAAGGAGCTTTGAAAAGTAATTCCTAGCAGAATATGTTAAAACTTTAATTAATGTGAGTTTCTTCTTGGTATAAGAAAAGAATTTTCTTTATTACTAAAATGGATCTGTAAGCCTTCAGGGGTTCAGTTAGTACTTTTTCATGTGTCTTAAAATCCAGGAAACACTTTTTCCATTTTCAAGAAGAAGCTTTCTTATCTACTATAATCCCAATGCAAACTGAGCACCTTCTATTGTACTGGATGGAAAATGAAAGAGGCTGCTGGATTTTCACATTATCATTTATACAACTTTAGATTCACAGAACTCCTCTACAATGAATCAAATACAATCTTTACCTGTTTTAATTCATTTCAAATGCATTTGCTTTTATAGTATTGCTTTCCCTTTGGTGTGACCTCAGAAGAAATGGTATATTGAAAATCATGTAAATCTCTACAGAAGTGATTTCATTTTTGGGTCTATACAGAAAAACTATATTCAGAATATATATAGAATATACATTCTGATTTTGTACTGGTTTTGCATGGATTGAATGCTATTAGAAAAAAAAAAGGACTTCAGACATTTTCAACAGCAAACAATGGTGATTTATGATGTTAAGGGGAGAGAACTGAGTAAACAAGAGTTTAGATGAAGCAGTTATGCTGGAGTCATCTTTTCCTTCACAATGCAGCAGCTGCTCGATATGTATGAGCTTAAGCTGTATCATTTCATAGTAAATGCAAGCTAGGATACTTGTGTTTTAATGAAAAGATATGAAATTAAGTATTTTTTTCTGACAGTGAGCACACAGGGTGTAAAACGTAGGTACCCAGCATCAACTGGCATATGATCATTTSATATCCTGTAGTATTTGCTTGCATGTGAAATTCTTGAGATATTGCAGGTAAACGAATATAAGTACTGCAGTATTTCACATATATGATAAGATATGCATGCTATCTTTTAAATGGTAAATCATACAGGAATTAAATCTGGAGACATTAATTTTTCTTTAAATACTTGTCTAATTTCATTTTGTTACTTTAGAGCATCTAGACCAAGACTGTTCATAGCTTTAAAGAAAATATTAACTCTTCAATTCAAGTTGATATGCCTCAGAAGCTCCATGTTTGTTCAATAAATCCAGCAACTAACAGAACAGCAGTGTTTGAGCATAGAAATTCTGAGTCCACTACGCTCAACACCAAGTAACAATGTGCCAGAGGCAGAGGTGTAGTAAGGCATAGCTAAAGGAAGCATTASCATTAGCAAAATGGGGTCTCATTTCAGTTACTGTACTAATTTATATTTATCAAAATAGAAACATAATTTTCTATGAGTTGCTCTTTCCTGCATTCAATAACGACAGCAAAATGATTACTCTGCATAAAACTCGTAACTATTCGAGAAGTTATTCACTTTAAATGTCATACTTACTGATGATAGATTAGCAAATCTTAAGTATCAACTTTAAAACACTTTCTATATTACCATTAAGCATAAAATCTAATTAGAGAATACTTCTTTGCTTTAGGCTTTCAGCTAACAGTAAACACAGTTAATTAGTTTCTGCTAAAACACTCTCTTGAGGCTGTCAAAACATAGAGAAAATCTCTCAACCATACCTATGTAAAAAACATCTCTTCTATACTATTATGCCTTTTTCCAATCATGACTAATCTAACTCTCAGATATGTACCAAGTGTTTCCTGCACAAAACCGTTAAATAAGAAACTGTTTCCTTCTACAGGATACATATTCCAAAATACTCCACAACTGATAAAGGAAAATTTCACCTTCTATAAGGAAAACAAACTCACAGAACAGGAATAGCGGCTGATGCAACCCCATGCTGACAAAGGAACTAAGCAACTGCATGGCCATGGCTTGCACCACATGGCACATGCCATGCTCACTGATGCTAAAGCTCCTAGACTCCACCAAGCTGAATATCTGGATTTCTGCTCAGACTACCAAATGTTTAACCAAATTCAACCAAGTACAAATTAGAGTAGACAAAATAAATAAGATTTTTAAGTTGGTGTAATAATCTGGAATGGATCCAGAGGCCTGGATTTCCATTGAGGCCAAAGCATTTAGAGTAAAGATTCTCCATCTACAATTTATAAGCTGCATACAGCTCATTGTAGCCCACAGAGCCTTTCTCTACACAGGAAAGGATATTTTTCTTTTGTTGCTACCCCC